GACCCCCCCTCGCAGACCCCCCCTCGCTGACCCCCCCTCGCCCCCCCTCGACCCCCCCTCGCTGACCCCCCCTCGCTGACCCCCCCTCGCTGGGACCCCCCCTCGCTGACCCCCCTCTGGGACCCCCCCTCTGGGACCCCCCCCTCGCTGACCCCCCCTCGCAGACCCCCCCTCTGGGACACGACCCCCCATCGCCTGACCCCCCTCGGACCCCCCCTCGCTGACCCCCCCTCTGGGACCCCCCCTCGCTGACCCCCCTCTCCCTCTGGGACCCCCCTCGCTGACCCTCCTCTGGGCCCCCCCCTCTGACCCCCCCCTTGGGACCCCCCCTCGCAGACCCCCCCTCTGGGACCCCCCCTCGCCGACCCCCCCTCTGGGACCCCCCCCCTGGGGTAGGCTACCCTAGGCTCAGAGTCGGCCGCGCGCAGAGGGAGGGTAGCCCTAGGGATAGGCCCAAGGGGTAGGCCCTAGGGGTAGCCCTAGGGTAGCCCAAGGGGTGGGCCTTAGGGGTAGCCCTTTTATTGCGGATTACAATCTGATTCCTTTGGTCGGGCGGGTAGGGCAGGACATGAAATGCATTGATTGCTTTGGTGGCGGATTACAGGTTGATTCCCCTTGGTAGCGGATTACAACTTGATGCCTTTAGTCGGGCGGGCGGGCGGGACATTGAAGGCGTTGATTGCTTGCTTGTGTGGTGGATTACCAATTGCTTCCCGTTGGTACCGGATTACGAGTAGATTTCATTTGTGGCGGATTACAAGCTGATTCCTTTTGTCGGGCGGGCGGGCGAGACATTAAAGGCATTGATTGCTTGTGTGGCGGATGGCAAACTGATTCTTATTGTGGCAGATTACACATTGATTCCTTTTGTCTGGCGGGCGGGCGGGACATTAAAGGCAATGATTGCTTGTTTGGTGAATTGCGAATGGATTCCCTTTGGCAGCGGATCTTAAACTTATTCCTTTGGTCGGGCGCCTTTTGCCGGGCGGGCGGGCGGGACATTGAAGGCAACAATTGCTTGTGTGGTGAATTACAAATGGATTCCCTTTGGCAGCGGATTGCAAACTTATTCCTTTGGTCGGGCGGGCGGGCGGGACATTAAATGCATAGATTGCTTTCGTGGCGGATTACAAAGTGATTCCATTTGGCAGCGGATTGCAAGTTGATTACTATTATGGCGGTTTACAAGCTGATTCCTCTTGTCGGGCGGGCGGGCGGGACATTAAAGGCATTGCTTGCTTGTGTGGCGGATTGCACATACTGAAGGCCCTAGGCTTCCCAAGGACAGGCCCTGCTGGACACCCTAGGGTAGCCCTAGGGTACCCCTAGGGGTAGGCCCCAGAGGTAGCCCTAGGGTAGCCCTAGGGGTAGGCCCTAGGGGTAGCCCTAGGGTAGCCCTAGGGGTAGGCCCTAGGGGTAGCCCTAGGGTAGCCCTAGGGGTAGACCCTAGGGGTAGGCCTAGGGTAGCCCTAGGGGTAGGCCCTAGGGGTAGGCCTAGGGTAGCCCTAGGGGTAGGCCCTAGGGGTAGGCCTAGGGTAGCCCTAGGGGTAGGCCCTAGGGGTAGCCCTAGGGTAGCCCTTCCTTGGGTGATCTATAAGCCTGGGTGAGGGGTTCGCGGGAACTCTCGTGCGCGGCCAGCGCCCCGTCCTTTAGCCTTCTTCCTCTCGTTGACTGAATGCGGGTGCAAGATGGGCCCGACACATTCGGGCGGGGTGCTCCAGGAGGGCCGCGCGCGCCGTGCATCGAGGCGCCAGACCGTGCGCGCCATGATATTCGGGGATGGACAAACCTCTCTTTAGTAAAACGTGGTTTAGTGAAAACGACTTCGGGCCCAAACCTGGCGGGCGCAAGCCTGTGAAATAACGGCCGCGGCGCCTCTCGAAAACCGAAAACGGACAATTCACGAATCGACGTGTCACTATTGGGGGTTCTGTCCACCCCCGAGATATTCATATCCTCCGCTGCTAGGCATGCTGCCCCTGGGCCCATCCAGCATGCCCCCCCCCCCCCCCCCTTTGTTCCTCATCTCCTCTATGGCGCTGTCAACGGTGAAATCGAACAGCTGAACGTCCTCCTTGATTGGTCGGAAGGAGCGCCCGATCCGTCCAAGCCTTTGCGCGGGCAGTCGACCCCGGCACTTCCGCGAACCTCCGCTGGCGCGGCCCCCTGCGACGCCCTGCAATCAACCGGGCTAGCTTCTGGGCGAAGTAGGTGCCCTGATCCTTGGGAGCCTGAATCAATTCTGCACGTCGCCCTTCTCTGATGTCGTTCCGGTGTGGGCGCGCGGTCGTGCGAAGCATGATGCCCACCTCCTTGATGCGGGACGTGATGTCGGATGTGCTGTGTTCCGTGCGCTGTCCTCGCAGATTCCCGCGACGCGCAAGATGATGGCGAACCTCCTCCGCCGCCTTCCTCCTGTCCTCCGCGTGGAGCGGGCTGTGCGTAAAGGTGTTGACGATGGCTGTATTGGGCGTGCTCATGAAGAGAGCGTTCATGCTGTCTACGTCACCGCTGCTGCGCGCTGCCTCGAACTCTTCCTCTCTGATATCCGCCTCCTCCTCCATCTTCTCCAGCTCCTCTTTCCTCTCGTGGCCCGTCTGAATGCACTGATTGAGAGCTTCTCGATTTGCTCGTGGATCTCGCGGCACGAGGGGGGGCCTCGCGCTGGTTGGAGAAAATAGAAGCACATGCTGGGCGGTGATCGTGATCACCGCGTGCGCGAAACAGTTGCGGCCTGCGAGCGGAGTGAACGAGAAATTTGACTTTCTCTATACGTTTATAACAAGGTGTTCGGGTATAGTGCGATGATCGATGTGGGACTCGCCATGTTTGCCCACGTCTGTTCCTGGTAGCTGCCAATGCGTGCCAATGCTGGTGAGTCCCCATCCCGATATCGTGAAGGCCTTAACGCACATGGACTTACCGTTTGTGAGCCTCCAGAAGGCGTCCGCGACTCGGTCTGGATTGTTCAAGGGGAGGGCGCCTAAGGTCGGTCACGCTGATCGGTATGGCGCGCTTTTGGATCATGAACGACATGGTCTCCGATAGCCAACTGTTTATGGCGCCGATGGTCTTGTTGTAGCTCCTTCGTCCTCCTGTTCCAATCTGCCAGCCCCGTAGCTATTTGGGCGCTGGGAAGATCCTCCTGATGCACGATGGTGAAAAACGTGCCCTTCTCAGTAAGAACGACACCCCACAGCTTTTGTTCACAGATCTCCCAGGGAAGAAACCACTCTCGTAGCACGTGTAACCGCCAACCTTTCTCGTCTTCCCACTGCTCACCGCCTCCTTCCCTCTGCGTCCCAACCAGCCCCAACACGTCCTTGACCCCAACCTCTTGGGTGATGTCCTCCAACCGCGTCGCGGCCGCGGCCGCGAGCGGGAGTAAGGTCAGCGCCCGCAACGGGCCCGCCATGGGAGCCCGTGGGCGCGGCCGGGGCGGCTTCGAGAGCGCACCCGCAAAACAGTTTGGAAGTGTGTGTGGTTCCCTGGCGTCGGGAAGGAACTTCCAAAACGTTCGGGCCGCCTGGAGGAAGAGGAGGAGGAGGGGGAGGAGGCGGAGGAAGAGAAGGAGGAGGCGGAGGAGGAGTGAACATGACTTCATCGCATGACGCCTGGGGGCTGCGCGATCTCCCTCGTCCCGCCGTCGTCTTTCTCTTCCTCCTCCTCCTCCTCCTTCTCCTCCTCCCCCAAGCTCGGCCTTCGGGTTCGGGCTCAAGGTCTGGCTCGGGCTCAAGCTCGCTGCGTAAGACTTCACTCCGCAGCAGCAGCTCTGCCCCATGCCGAACACAAGGATCAGAGGGGCTTTTGCCACGAAGGCAGAGAACGAATCACATCCTGAACAACGAATGTGGTCTTTTAAGATGGGAGACCTGACGACGGCCCTGGCCAGCCTTGAAATCAAATCGATCGCATGGAACCGAAGGGCTCGTGGAGGAACTGGGCTTCCTTGTGGCTAGATGTGCGAACTTCGTACCGCGTCGCATAGGACTGGCTTAACTTATCCAAATGACATCACGTTGGTGGTGGCGTAAATAACCAAAACCTTGATTTGGGCCTGGTTCCTTCGGTCAACCGCCCTGGCAGACGTAACGATTCCGCGCGTAAGGAATACCGAAGGGGGTCGCTGGACATGCTGCGCGGGGAGCGCAAGCAACAGACCTGAAGAACCACCGAACCCCTTTCCGAACCTGATCTGGTCCTACTAATTTCAGCCTGCTGACTGAGGGGAGTAGAAGGAGGAAGCTGGAGGCGGCCAGGGGAGGGGTTGCTTCACTTCTCAGCGCAATGCTGGAAAGGAAAACAATAGGCAGGCGAGAGCGCGCCCGCCCCACCCTCCTAGGAGGCGGCGGGGGAGGGAAGAAGACAGGCCTCGACGACATCAACAACATGCTTGTTGGTAAGCGGAGAGGCTCGGCGGCGATGCGGCGAGCACGACAGTGCCGCTCTGCTGGAGGAGTCAAACAAGGTACCCACTCCCTACGGCACACAACGATCGAGGAGAAGGAGCGAGGTGAAGGAGGACGACGAGAAGAAAGGGAGAAAGAGAACGAGGACACTTCGGGATGGACACGGTTGTTTTCGGCGATCGCCCGGGTTATCCAGCGGTGGGGAGGTGCCAGCCGATAACCGAATCTGTTCGCCCTGGGCAGCCCCACGTACGCCCGCGCGCACCAGTACTGCGTACCCCCTTCGGACCTGCGCAACCGACAACGTCAACTTTTCTGGGGGGGGGGGGTCGGGCGGGCAGGCCCCATAACCCGGTTTATCGCCAGACCCTTCAACCAACCAGGCTGGATGGCATGGGAAAGGGCCCTAAAGGTGAGCGTGCCACTTTTGTGCTCCACTGCTGCAAGGTTCCAGGCTGCCTTCAGCGACGGACAGCAAGTCGATCCTGGCGGCCACGCGGGCAAGGTCCCGCGCGCGAGGGGGATGCCCCGAGAACAACAGGGGGGGGGGAACTGACCCGCGTGCGGAAACGCGGGCCGCCGCCGAGCCGCTCACATAGTCAGCGCGGTGTTCGCGGCCTCTGCCTCGGTCGGCGAGGGAGGGGTTGGAATGAACAGGGAGGGCGGACGACGAGGCAGGAGGCCGGAGGGCTGGAGGTCGGAGGAGGGAGGGCCCAGCGCTTTGATCGGGTCGCGTTCCAGTTGCAGTGGGTGGTGGTGGTGGCTTGGGACACGGATGCCGGCGAAGGCGATCATGGCCCAAGCGAGGCTATGGGCACCCTCGGGTGGCCACCCGCTGGTGGTGATGCGCGCCGTACGCACCTCGTCAAAAACCCGTCGTGGTGGAAACGCCCTTGTCAATTTCTTGAAGGGTCTGCTGGGCGGCCCGATGCCTAACCTGAGTGACGTGCCAACGTGCGAACAGCCGTGCCTCAGATGTGGTAGGCCCAAAAGCGTGGAGGGCCCTTGTGAGGCGTTGCAGATGCGTGAAGGGAATTATCCATCCTGTGCTCCTGGGAAGCGCCAGACAGCAGCTAGCAACATCATGCCATCCATCGGCGTCCCACTATCCACATCCAGCCTGCTGCGGATGCCGTGTCTGGGACACAACTTCGATCAATGGAGGTCATTGGTTCGTTGCGTGTCCGCTCAAAAACAGCATGCATAATACCGTCGCGACGATGGCGACGGAGACGACGACGGTGGTGATGCTGATGAGCACAAGGGAAGAGGATGATTTTTGAGACAAGAATTCCAAGCCCACTGCAAACATTGGTTTGCTACTTTCAAGCCCGGAAGAGGTCGACGAGGGAACGGGGGGGGTAGATGAGGGACGAAGCCGACGATGAAACAACGACGACTCCAAAACGCAGACACGACAACGCGGGAGGACAGGACACGAAAGGGGAGGCGACCGAGCGACGAGACAAGGCGACGCGGGCGTAGGTACGCGCCAAGGCGGAAACACGGATACGAAATCGCTCCATGCTTTTCCTCTTGACATCTTTCGCGTTCGCCGGAAACCTTGTTAATTTCCAAAGAAAGTTCACGTGATCGTGAACTACTTCGGGCGGGAGCCGACGAGACTGCAAATCACCAAAGCGCCATTCCGCACGGGCGTCATGATCCACTCCGCCAATAATAGAAAGGCCACGACCCAGGGACACGGGAACAAAGTGATCGTGCAACGCAAAACGAATATGGCGCAACACGAACTGATACGCCGCGAATAGCGTCGGGTACAGCATCGTGCGCAACACGAACTTGTACAACGTCGCGAACAACACTAACTTGTACAGCCTCGATTACGGCATTGGGTGCAGCATCTGGTGAAGCACGAACTGGTATATCGCGAACAACATCGCGTACCGCATCGTGTACGGCACAATCTTGTACACCAATATCGTACACAACATCTGATACAGCACGAACAAGTGCAGCGCCGCGAACAACGCGAACAGGTGCAACACCTTGAACGGCATCTGGTGCAGCTGGAACAGCATCGTGCACAACGCGAACTGGTACAACATCGCGAACATGACTGAGTTGTGCGGCATGGTGTACGGCACCGTATGCAGCATTTTCTACGGCGCGAACTTGTACATCAGCGTCATGAACATCATCTTGTACAGCGCGAACAGGTATAGCGCAACGAACAAGACGAACAGGTACAGCATCGCGAACGGCATCGGGCGCATCATCGGGTACAGCATCATGTGCAGCGCGAACTGGCACAACATCGGGAACATCACAAACTTGAGCAACATCGTGGTCGTGTGCAGCGTTTTGCACAACACGAACTGGCACATCGCGACCCGCATCGTGCGCGGCATCGTGCGCAACGCGAACTTGTACATCAACATCTCGCACAGCGCCCCGAACAGCAGCAACTGCCGTCATCTGGTGGGAATCGGGGATAGCTGGCAAGATCGCGCCGCGGGTCCATGATTTCCTCGCTCCCGCCACAACCGCTGCCCACAAGTCACTACTCCGCGTCCCGTGCCACGGGTCCGGGTGAAATCGAGGAACGCCACGCCGCCGAGGGCCAGGCGGAGATCCAGCACGACCGTGGTTGCCATGGGCTTCATCCCCCGCTTCATCGTGTGGACGAGCGCCATCGTCATCCTCTGGGCCGCCGCCAGGGGCAAAATGAGCACAAGGCACCTCGAGCCAGATGCGGACCGCCTGGCACCCATCAGAATGGCGGTGCGATGTCCACGATCGATCGACATGCACACCGCAGACATCTGGGTGACAGCGTCCACCAAACTGAACATGAGGACGCGCGGGGAGGGAGTCGAGGGAGCCGCTGTGCTGTCTCAGGTTATCTTGATCTTCGCTTTGGCCGATCGCACCGGTGAGCTCCCAGCGAAGTTCACGACAACGCGCCGAAAACTTGTTGGCGAAGCCACCCGAGCCTGGCCGCGACCATCATGCCCCGAATCGAGCGGCAGCAGCTCCGGAGGGCGCAGGCACCTAGCAAGCCACGAGGACCAGCAGGTGCTGGAGCCGAAATAGCTCTCATGATGCTGATGCTGATGATGATGCTGATGCTGATGATGATGATGCTGATGATGATGATGATAATGATGGTGGTGATGATGATCATGGGTCCACCAGAGAAACAAATCCGGCGGCCCTGAAAATAAGCCTGTCTGCCGGTATGGAACACCGTGTGTGCAGTAGCTAGGCGGTTTAGCCCTGCGCAAGAGGTGATGCCAACCTTGCTTGCTGTGCAATTCGGAGGCGGCTCGGGCCAGCAGTCGAAGACCGCTCATAATGGCGGGCAAACAAATAGCGCTGATCAAACTTAGGGCACCTACAATTGAAGCAGGGATGTCGGGCAGCTTAATGCATGCGCTTTGATGATGATGACGATGACAATGACGATGATAATGATGATATTCATGATGATGATGATGCTGATGATGATGGTGAAACTGATGTTGATAATGTGGATGATGATGACGATGACGAAGATGATGATGCAAATGCTGACGATGATGATGGTGACGGCGACGACGCTGATGCTTAGGGTGATGCTTATTATGATGATGTTGTTTGTGGTTCCGATGCTGATATTGATGATTGTGATGATGATGATGCTGGTGTTGTTACTGCTGATACTGCTGATGATGATGATGATGATTCTGATCATGATGATGATGACGACGATGATACTGATACTGATACTGATACTGGTGATGACGATGGTAATGGTGATGGTGATGATCATGGGTCCACCAGAGAACCAACTCCGACCAACCGAAGCGGCACCGAAACGTGTTGGCGACGAATGATATTCTGCGCAAAATGCAATGGTGGCCCTCGGGTGACCCTGAAAATAAGCCGGTCGGTCGTTGTGCAACACCGTTTGTGCAGTAGCTAGGCGGTGGAGCCCTGTGTAAGAGGTGATGCCAACTTTGCTTGCTGTGCAATTCGGAGGCGGCTCGGGCCAGCAGTCGGAGAGCGCCTAGAATGGCCAGCAACGCTGATCAGAATTAAGGCGCCCACAATAGAAGCAGGGATGCCGGACGGCTTAATGCGTGCGCTTTGATGATGACCATGGCGATGACGATGAAGATGACGATGACGATGATGATGCTGATGCTGATGCTGATGCTGATGTTGATGCTGATGATGATGATGATGATGATGATGATGATGATGATGATGTGGATGATGATGACGATGATGATGATGATGTCGATTATGATGACAATTAAGACAATGCTGATGCTGATGCTGATGCCGATGCTGATGATGATACTGATCATGATGATGCTGATGCTGATCATGCTGATGACGGTGATGCTGATAATGATGATGATACTGATGATGATGATGATGCTGATGATGATGATGATGATGATGATGCTGGTGATGATGATGATGCAAATGATGGATGATGGTGATGATGATCATGGGTCCACCAGAGAAACAATTCCGACCAACCAAAGTGGCACCGAACGGCGCTGGCGACGAATGATATTCTGTGCGTAATGCAATGGTGGCCTTCGGGTGGCCCTGGAAATAAGCCTGTCTGCCGGTATGGAACACCGTGTGTGCAGTAGCTAGGCGGTTCAGCCCTGCGCAAGAGGTGATGCCAAGCTTGCTTGCTCTACAATTCGGAGGCGGCTCAGGCCAGCAGTCGAAGGGCACCCAGAATGGTGGGCAAACAAACGGCGCTGATCAGAGTTAGGGCGCCCGCAATAGAAGCAGGGATGCAGGACAGCTTAATGCATGCGCTTTGATGATGACGATGACGATGACGGCGACGATGATGATGCTGATGATGACGATGATGATGTGGCTGATAATGATGATGACGATGATGATGGTGATGACGATGATGACGATGACGATGATGGTGATGATGATGATGATTTTGATGATTGTGATGATGGCGATGATAATGATGATACTGCTGATGCTGATGCTGATGCTGATGCTGATGATGATATTGCTGCTGTTGATGATGATGATGATGATGATGATTATGATGCTGATACTGATCCTGATGATGATGACGACGATACTGATGCTGATGCTGATAATGATGAGAGTGATGGTGATGATGATGATCATACTGATGCACATGCTGCTGTTGATTATGATGATGAGTATGATGATGAGTCTGAGTATGATGATGACGGTGGTGGTGGTGGTGGTGGTGATGATGCTTCTGACGCCGATCATGATGATAATCCTGATGATGACGCCATCTGCGTCCTCCTCCTCCTCGTCCTCCTCCTCTTCATCATCATCATCGTCATCGATGTGCCAATCGAGTTCCCAAATTGCGGTGCATGCCTGTCGCCCAAACCTCCCTGGTGTGCGTGCACCTCCCAGCTTTGGCAGCGTACCGCAACGACCCCCCTGGGCCCACAAGGGCTCTAACTGAATCTTTTCCCTGCGCCCGAACGGGGACCAGACCACGTGCGTCGTGAGTTGGCGTGCATCGAATCGATACATCGGATCTGCGATCGAACATAATCGGACCGGCGGACATCGGCAGCCAAATCGGGAGAAATCGAATCGGCAGAATTCGGCAAACGAATCAAACCAGAATCGGAATCGATCGAAATCGAGTCGACTCGAGCCGGAGGAATCGAAATGAGTTCTGAAATGAGGTCCTGAAGGAAATCGCTCCTGGACTCCTTTTCTCATGCTGAGTCGTTCTTTGACGGTTCAAGGGCCAGGGAAGGTCCCAGAGAGCCCGAAAAATGCGAAAACCTTAATACCCCTTTCCATCAGGACCCCCTTTGACCTCATGGCGACCTGCAAGCCGACCCCTGGACCTTTCCTGGAGTGGCTAAGATACAACACATTCAAGGGAATCGAACCGTGGCGAAGAGGAGACTTTCTGGATGCCCAAGGATGCCCAGCATGGTGCAAAAACGCGCAAGAACCTCAATACTCGGTCTCTTCATGGTGAGTGGCGCGCGCGCTCCTACAGTGCGGCCAGCACCGAGCGGGAGCAGGCAGGCATGGCATTGCAGGCAGCTGGAGCAGGCGTGCACGGCAGAGGTGATGGTTGTGCGTGCGGGGGGGGGGGGGGCGGCCGCATGCAGAGCGCCTGACAGGACTGGCGGGTGAGGAACCCAGGCTGCCCCCTCAGCTGGGCGCGCCCTCCTCCTGCCTCCTGACTCCTCCCTCCTGCTTCTCCCCTTCCCTGCTCTCTCTCCCCACCCTCCCCCGCCCCCTTCCTCCTCCTCCTCCTTCTCCTGCTGGTGCTCCTTATCCTGCTCCTCCTCCTCCTCCTCCTCCTTCTCCTGCTGGTGCTCCTTCTCCTGCTCCTCCTCCTCCTCCTCCTCCCCACTCCCCTTGCTCTTCCTCCTCCTCCTTCTCCGCCTCCTCCTCCTCCTTCGCCACGTCCATCCTTCCCCTCCTCGTTTCTGTCATCCTCCTTCCCCTTCATCCTTATTCCTGCATGACGCTTCCCCCTCCCCGTCCCTCTTCTTTCTGGTCTCCTGCATGCAAAGGCACGGCCCAAGTGTCGGGCCTTTTTGATGAACTGCGCCATCTGCGAATGGCGCTTCTTCAGCGCGCCGATGTCATCCTGCCCCGCGGGTGGGAGGTGGGCTGAGAGGAGGGAGGCAGGGGCAAGTTTTTGACAGGTGCAAATCAGAAACATCTGATGAAGATAATCAGAGCCAGGTGAGAACCACGGGCCGCCAACTACGTGAAAAGAGAACTGCCATACTGACGTTCGGGCAATCCCGACATCAAGAGACTGAAATAATCAATTGCCCATATTTGTTTTTACCCGTGTTCCGGAAAACCTTGTCCGGAGCATGGGGGCGACGACAAACCGATGGCCCAGGATACGAATTAACCCTAAAACGTATAATCCCCTGGCCTGCCAAACATACGTTGGACAGACCCGTCTTGAACGGCCTCGACGGCCAAACAATACAAACACCACGGCAGGAGAGAGAGGGAGGAGGAGCAGACGAAAACTCCAAGCCACCTGGAGCAGCGCACAAGCTAACCTGCAATAAGCGAGCGGTTGCGCACATCCGGGGACTTGCGAAACTGACGCTGCCGTACACCTCGGCCAGCCACGCGACAAGAATCCGTGCTGCGTCGCTGGATTTACGATTGCGCCGAGGAATCTGTCGGCTCCCAGGCCGAGCGAAAGCAGATCTGCCGAGAGTGCAAATGATTCGAAGCGCAACGTGAGAACAATAGGGCTGACCAGGCCCTGTAGAAGAGAGGAAGAGAGACAGGAGGAGGAGGACGACGACGAGTCAGCAGAGAAGAAGGGGGAGACAGCTGAGAAAGATCAGGCTCGGGGCCTTTTGCGGGCGGCTGCAACGAGCGCTGTGGCCCACGGAACCCCGCGGATGCCTTCGCGAACGAACTCGCCGAACATGCCGTCCAAATCAGCACGGGGAGTCGTGCTATGGGAGACCTCGGCGTGCAGCCTGTACAAGGCGTACACGCCGATGGCACGCAGAACCGCAGCCTTGGCGACAGCACTCTCTTCGCGCAAATGAATTGGCAAACGCTGCGCGCACGGACGTACACACAGAAAGTCGACCAATCTGTCCGAACTTGGCGGGGCATCGAACCGCAAATGCTTCGAGTACAGCTGGTGGAAAGGAGCGCAGGTCGCATAAGGTTCAATGCTGTCGTCGCGCCCGCTGCATCCGAAAATGCAGCCGCCACGGCCCTGGAAGCGTCGTGACGTGATCCACCCACTGAAAGCAAAGCGCAACACGGCCGCCAACGCCCGTGGCGGAGTCGCGGCCACGATGTCCTGCATGCGATTCAAGAAACGCAAGGGCCTATGCCCTGGCAGAACAGACAAGCGCCACCGGTCGAGCTTCTTGCGGAGATGGCGAAACGCATCGTCCCGGCGGTCACGGAATAGCGTCGCAACACGTGCTTGCCATCCCGCCTTGGGCTGCGCAACGTGCCCGACCGCGTCCAGCAACGATGGCGACGAATTCCGAAGAATCTCGGTGCGCCGTAACTGGGTGGCGGCAGCGTCGATCTCGAAGACGAAAAGACGGTCCAGCCAGGCGCGGTGTGCGCGCGCCCTGGCCTTCCAGCCTGGCGACAGAGTGCGGCGCGCAGTCTCTGCGCGCGCTCACTCACTCTCCGACCTTCGTTGGCGACGTCCTCGTGGCGGAAGACACGGGCACGGGAAGCCAGGCACCAGGACTGTAGATCGACCATCTCCGCGGGGAACTTTGGGTCCTTGAAGTGTGTAAAACATCCTGGAGTGATCCAATGGCCCAGTCCCTGGTAAAGCAATGAACACGCCTGCTTCTCGACGCCCGCGAACTCAGCAAGGAACGCGGCGAGTTGCCCCACGCAGCACAGGACGGATGCGATGAAGATGCCGTACGCCTGCGTGGTGAGGAGGAGGCCGATGCCCAAACCACCCCAGATACGAGTACGGTCAAGGTATTTCGCAAACGGCGCGCACCATGATAAGACCACATCCAGGCCCGATGACCATTCCAAGATATTTGGCCTAGACTGCAGGCGGCGCGATCGAAATATTTCATCTGTGAAAGTAAATTGCACGACTTTTGATTTAGGGGGGCAGTTTCGGAGACCCCCATTATGGTATTTTATTTTCTAAAGCAAGCGAACTTGAAATGCGCTCTCTCAACCATGCTATTCTGCCGTTCGGAAGCCAACTAACCCGAACGACGCCGACGCCCCCGTGCAGGTCCAGAACCCTGTGTGTTTAAAGGTTAAACATCGTCCAGGCCGCTGCTGCGTGACGCCTCCCTCCCGCCTGGGGGGGCATCTCTGCATCGCCATCCTACATTGAACGTCTTCCCACTCCCTCCCTCCGTCCCTTCCCTGCGCTCCTTCTTTCCTGACCACCACTCCCCCTTGGGTCCCCCCCTCTCGCCCCGCCCTCTTCCACCCTCCCCTCGCTTCCCCGCCAGCCTCGTTGGGGCCCGGGGCTCTTCTGCTATCCGTGAGCCATCGAGGCTGGCCGGTGGCGCAGGTCGCTCGACGTCGGTCCATTCTGGGCCACTGGCGGCCTTCATCCTTCAACGCCCGCGCTGGGATCGCCACCGCGTCGACACGGCGCGAACCTACATCAACACAACTGCTCACGGACTGCGCCCAGCTGCCACGACGCCACAGGCGCCCCGCCCCGCCGCCCAGTTGGAGGCCAACACCAGCACAGGGGGGTTGCCTACACCGAGGGAAGACGATCCTACATTTTGGCGTTGGTGTTACTATTTCGACTACCCAGGAAAGCAGAAAATTACTACCATCGCCGAGATCGGGAGCATCTTCCTTCGGTGGAGGCGCACTGCCGATGTTGGTGTTGGTGTCGACCTGTAGGCCTCCGACCCGCCCGTCCTTCAGCGTCTTGATGTGCTCCGCACGCTGCTCGTAGTCCTCGGCCGCCGCGCCCCGGCGAGGCAGGGGCGGGCCGCGCGCCGTGGGGAATCGGAGCGCGCCGTGGGGCACCTCGGACTCATGGCCTACAAGCGGGACTGATGGGCACATGAGATGACACGAGACTCGGAAAGTGATGCCAGAACGCGGCATGTGGTGGGGGGTTCGTGTCCCCCTCCCCCCCTCCCCAGTCCCCCACCCAGGCCCCCCCTCCCAACTATTTGGGGGCGAATCCAACCAGCCCCTTAGGGCGTGAATGGTTGAGTGGGTTTCCTCTTCTACCCCCCCTTTCCCCTTCGGGGAAGAATTCATATCACTGTTCCCTGAATACCCCCTCCCCCAGGCGGCCGGCAGCCAACCAGGACAAACGCCCCCCCCCTTCCCTGTCAAAGAGCCCTACGAACACACACTTTGGGGCAACATCTTGGGTCATGCTCGTTGATCCCGCGAGTACCTGGTTTTGTTTTTTGACCTGGGCGGCGTGGTGCCCTCAAATTGTCTGGTTTGCGCAAGGTCACCATGCCTGTCGAAACTCCAAACAACATGCACTTCGCGGCTAAATCTGGATCATGCGCGACCACCCCACGATCAGTGTCCATTGGTGTTTGAAAAGGACTGCGGGAGTGCTGGCATATTGCCCGCTGTGTGCAGGTCCACCAGACATCATCATGGCCTCCTCGCCGCGATTGTGCACTGGTGGCAAGTGGCAAGAATGATGGGGCTGACATGTTTCCTGATGTGTGCTGTCACGAGCGCGGGCACATCTGGCACACTTTGCGCGTGCCCCGACGTGGCGCACCTGGCGCGGCTGGACCATGCGGCACACATGACGCATGTGGAGCGCGTGGCGCATCTGGCGCGCGAGGCGTGCCTGGCACGCTTGAGCCCCAGGGGTTCCTGGCGCACCTGGAGCGCCTGGCACGCGTGGCGCACCTCGCCGAATCGCGCACATGGGATCTGCATTGGTTCCCAAAAGCTGCCCATCCATAGACAACTGCTGAACATGCTGAGGCCCGGGTGCTACTGATATGCTGGGAGGGTGTGTGGGAGTGAGCGAGACAGCCTGCGGGCGCGGAGGGTGTCTTGACCTCGCACCCTACCTCTCCACATGGACCTGTACGGGTGGGCGGGTCGCGCGTCCAAGCTGGCCACGCCGAGAAGGCCAAACTGATTGATTGTACTAACTAACGGGTGCTGGCCACATGTTGGCCTTCTGGGGAGGCAACGCTAATTGAGCACGCCTCCTTCTCTGATCGAACTTGGCCCAAGATGGTCCCCAAGGCTCCCAAGAGTGCCTCAAGAGGAGCCCAGTAGGCCCTAGGAGGTCCCCAAGAGGTCCCCAAGACTCCCCAAGAGGACTCCAAGACGCTCTCTAGAGATATCCGAAGGGACTCCGGGAGGCATTCACTGGGCCTCTGGCCATTCTGCTCGCCCTCCTCCTCCTTCTCCTATTCCTCCTCCTCCTCTTCTTCCCCATCCGCCTATTTCACCTCCTTCCTCCTCTTCTCCCCCTCTCCCCTCTCCCTCCTCCTCCTCCTCCTCCTCCTCCTGCTCCTCCTCCAGTTCCTCCTCCATCCTCCCCCTCTTGGGGTATGAAGTCTTACCCAGCCCTTTACTCCACTGCATGCTCCTCCATATCCCTGATCAGGGCAACTTGTCTGGACATCGTTTCTGGACGTGGTGGTGGGGTTGCGCGAAGCGTCTGGAATAGCATGATGCGTACGCAAGCCCAACTGCAGAACTATCGTCAAAACTGTAGACGGATCTACCCTAGACGCTGTAGTCGGATCTACCCTTTCTCCGACCTTGCACTGCGCCGAACGCAACGGCTACATATAGACGTCTGCACACCGAATGTGTCTGTACCCGCCACCGTTCCCTCTGGCACGTTGAGGAATTCTAGTGAAGGGACCGCCCCTCTCTCTACTAGCAGACAACCGCATGTATTCCCCCCCTTTCCTGAGGCCACTTTCTCCGTGCCCACTCGAGGATTGTGCACTCCGCATGGTGGCTACACAATTCCTGAACCCTCATTCCATGCACGCCCGCTTGACGAATGTGCACTTCCCGCATTCCCGCGCGCATCCGCTCGATGATCGTGCAACTCCCGCATTCCCATGCAAGGCAGCCTAAGGTGCCTCCACGAGGGCCCGACGGTGCAACAAGATAATCCCAAACAAGGTCCGAAGAAACCACCATCAGTTATGCCACCTGGGTTGTTGAATTAATTTCGCATTCTAGCCTTTTCGGGCTGCCGTCAGCTCAAACTGGCCCACGACGCCTCCACAATGGCATCAAGATAACCCACGAGGCTCCAATGATGGCCCGGGAGGACTTCACGTCGGCCCAAAAGGGATCCAAAACAGCCCCAAAAACGGCCCACGATGCCCTCCCGTGGGACCCACGACGGCCTTAGAATGTCCATCGACGGCCCAACGGCCTCCCGCCAACCACCATATGGCCAAGAGGGCACCAACGCGTCCCAAACGAGCCCCAAGACGGCGTACAACAGCCCCGAGGTGGCCCAAGAGAGCCCCAAAACTGCCCCACAAGAGGCCAGGACAACCCCAAGACGGCCCAACCGAGTTCTAGGATAGCTCCTCACATAGTGGCGACGAATGGTGTCCACATGAGAAGGCCTTCCTCTTCCTCCTGCTGCAGCTTCCCCTGCTCCTCCTGATCCTCCTGCTTCTCCTCCTCCTCCTCCTCCCCACCACCACCACCACAATCACCACAACCACCATCATCACCACCACGACCACGACCACGGCCACGACCACCACCACCACTATCACCATCATCACCATCATCATCATCATCATCATCAACAACATCATCATCATCATCATTATCATCGTCACCATCATCACCGCCACCACCACCACCACTATCACCACCATCAGCATCACCAGCATCATCATCGTCATCATCCTCATCCTCATCCTCATCAATATCATCATCATAATATCATAATCAGCCTCGCACCATCATCATCATCATCATCATCATCATCATCATCATCATCGCCACCATCATCATGATCATGCTCATGATCATGCTCATGATCATCATCAACATCATTATCATTACCATCATCATCACCATCACCATCACCATCATCACCATCACCACCATCATCACCACAACCATCATCATCGTCATCAACACCATCAACATCACCATCATCAACATCTCAACTTCCACCAACTCCATTATCATCAATACCAGCACCTGCATAACCATCAGCATCGTTATCGTTATCGTCGTCGTCATCGTAATCGTCGTCATCATCATAATCCGCATCCCCAACACCATCACCATCACCATCATTACCATCATCATCACCACCACCATCGTCACCAGCACTATCACCATCACTATCATCCACGTCCTCTCTTTCCACCACCACCATCAGCATCAATACCAGCACCGACATTACCATGAGCATCGTAATCATCATCAGCATCAACGCCAGCGTCAACGTCATCACCATCGTCATCATCATCGTCGTCAACGTCGTGGTCGTCGTAATAATAATGATGATGATGATGATGATGATGATGATCATCATCATCATCATCATCATCACCATCACCATCACCATCACCATCACCATCACCATCACCATCACCATCACCATCACCATCACCATCACCATCATCATCATCATGATCATGATCATGATCATGATCATCATCATCATCACCATCATCACCATCATCATCATCATCATCATCATCATTATCATCATCATCATCATCGTCATCATCATCATCATCATCATCATCATAATCCCCACCGTCCTCATCACGGCTCTCTCAAGCCTGGAGACGCGAGGTGTCACACGTGACGGCCTCCGGTGCCCCCTCGAACATTTCGCCACCCAAACTGCTGGGCTGGCACTATGGCGGGACTTGCCGCAGAGAAGGTGAGAATGGAATGGCATATACCCCTGCTATTGGTCTTGTAGAAGGTCGACTTTCCCCTGCACTGACGCTCCATTCCCTGACACTCCGCGACCTGCAGACCGCCATGGCTCAAGAGGCCCTGCGCAATAGACAGTGGCCTTCCAAAATCGATCGCGCGACAGCTCTGGAAGGGGAAACGCCAGCGACTGGGACAGGTCAAACCGAAACGGGTCGAAGCCGAAAACTGCCTCTTCCCTTGGAGGGGAGGGGGTCCCTAATTGAGCTTGCCCTTCCTTGATCGACCTCCTCCAGGAGGGCCCCAAGGCGCGCCCAAGAGGCTCCAAGAGGCCCCCAAGAGGTTCCCAAGAGGCGCCCATGGGGCTCCAAGAGGCTCTCCCCCAAGCATCGAAGACGCTCCAGGAGGCCCTCAGGAAAGCCTAGAAGCACCTAAGACGCCCCAAGATGACTCCAAGAAACTTTTAAGAGACATCCGAAGAGACACCTAGGGCATCCAATAGACCTCTGGCCATTATGCAGGCCCTCCTGGTCCGTAGCCGAGGCGCCACAAATTCATGATCACGATGAGCACGGCTATTCTGCTCGCCCTCCTCCTCTTTCTCCTCCTCCTCCTCCTCCTCCTCCTCCTGTTGATGGTTTTTACTTGGACCAAGGGGCTACAGATTAGCATGTACAGTCAACACGCCTCCAAGATGCAGGCGAGCGCATCGCCTCGCATCTTCTCATCTGTACTGCGGCTCGAACCTCCCTCTGAAGGCTCAAGCTCAAGCCGAAGCGGGCGTCCCCGCCGAGGCTCCCGCGCGCCCGCGCCCGACGCGCGCCCTTGGCTCAAAAGGAGCGGCCAGCGTGCCGCGTCCTCACCCGTCTTGGGTGGCCCTCAGAGGGTCTTCCATCCCGGCCCGAACCTACCTCGTGCTGCTGAGAAGCGCGCCTAGGTGCGAGCTCAAGCTCGCATCCGAGCGAAACGCCCGGATAGGCACCCTGCCTGGAACCAGCCGCGCGGCCCACGCCGCTGCAGCCAGCCCCTCACTGCTGGCCATGTGCTGGCCGCCGTCCCTCGTCAGACGAACGATG